AACAAGAAAAAGATAAATAATTCAATTTAAAAATGGTTAGAGGACATGAACAGGCGCTTCACCAAAGAAGACATTCAGATAGCCAACACACCCATGAAGAAAACACTCATGAACATTAGTCATTTGAGAGATGTAATTTAGGACAGTGATAAGCTACCACCTCAAAGTTCAAAACAACAACAGAAACCAGAGAAGGCTGGAGAGGGTGTGGAGAGACAGGAACCCTCATCCACCGCTGGTCAGCCAGTGTAATGCGATGATCTTCTCCTGTAAAGAGAAGCTTAAAAACCACAGGGCAGTTCTGCTCCACCCTATTGGGTCGCTAGGAGTCGGACCCCAAAGACCCCGGCCCGGTTCAGGTAGGTTATGCTGGGAGACACAATAGAGCTAACCACCAACTATCTTCCCTATATGGTGAAACTGTACTATGACCAGATGGGGCTTGGCTTTTCTTCTTGTACATCTTATCCTTAGTAATATGTATCACATACAGATGTTGCAATACCTCATTTACTGATGTCATTATTCTGAGATGTGCACTCACAGATGTTAAGAAATGGAGTTTTTAAAGATACTGAAAAGGCATTAAGCGGGGGAAAGGAGGTATCCAACTTACGTCTGAGCAGACTTATCACCGAGTCTTCGTGCAGGAACCCCATCCCAGGTTGGGACTACCTGTACTTAATGGTCACATCGGGTATCATTCAGAGAGCACACTTGGTTAGGAGGAGAGGGAACAAAAAGAGAAGATTGCTCATGAAAATGAAGAAATTTAATTTCTACTTAAGCAATGAAAACAAAAATTCCATGAAAACCTTCCAACATACACAGTCCTGGCTGCATTCAAAATTTCCACCGTCTTCAGAGCTACTGTTTATACACACATAGATGCTCTTGTGGCGCACTGAGGGCAGTCAGTGGCGGTGAAGTAAAGACACTGGGTGTCCACTGGACCCCACCTATGACAAACTTTCTAAACTCAGGTGCAGAAAATCCCAACCAGATATTGTTGAGGTCTGTTCTCAAAACTGACAAACCAGGCAAAAGTGACAGTCTTAGGTTCCAAACATTTGACCGTGGGTACCCTCTGAACGAAACCTATTCAATGATTGCACTGCAGGGATAAAGGGGGACAGCAAGAGAGACCCCCAAGAAACACCACCTCCCGCTCTTTCTGACTCTATGTAATAAACAAGATCCCTCCTACCATCCTATGGAGATGTATCTATATATTTTTTGATCATTCTATTGGGGGCTCGTACAACTCATCACAATCCATACATACATCCATTGTGTCAAGCACATTTGTACATTTGTTGCCTTCATCATTCTCAAAACATTTTCTACTTGAGCCCTTGGTATCAATTCATTTTTTCCCCTCCCTCCCCCATCTTCACTCCTCCACGAATCTTTGATAATTTATAAATATGATTTTTTCATGTCTTACACTGTCCGATGTCTCCACCCACTTTTCTGTTGTCTGTCCCCCTGGGAGGGGGTTATATGTAGATCATTATGATCAGTTCCTCCTTTCTCCCTCCCCCTCCCCCTCCTGGTATCACTACTCTCATTATTGGTCCTGAGGGATTTATCTATCCTGGATTCCCTGTGTTTCCAGTTCCTATCTGTGCCAGTGCACATCCTCTGGTCTAGCCAGATTTGTAAGGTAGAATTGGGATCATGATAGTGGTGGTGGTGGTGAAGAA